GACCCGCGCCAGCAGGACTGCTTCACGCTGCTCCTGCTCAAGATCGAAGGTCTTAGGAGATCTTGAGGCCGACTCCATTTTTTCATGTCTCTGGAATTTCGAGCCTCCGTTCCGCTTGGCATCGCTCGGGCATGTGTATTTTTTGCCCGCGAGGACCATCGAGGAGCATCGTGGATAATCCTGCAACAAAACGCACGAACGAAGTCGAACATGCACAGGGAATGGACGTCCGAGCGATGGCGAGTTCAGCAATTTCGGTTTGACGAGAGACGATCTTCGTTCTAGTCACCAAACAGTTACGTTGCATCTTCGGGTGACCTCGCCTGTCCCCAAAATTGGTGTCTTTCCTGCGTCCGACGCGGGCTTGATGCGGACGCCACGCGGATTTGGCGTGGATCCGACGCGGATTCGAAACGGATCCGACGAGTCCGACATGGATTCGACGCGGATTCGATGCGGACAGGGCCACGGCGGGACAAACAATGTTGCCCGATGGTGCAACACGAGCTGTTATTAAGACGCCAACACGGAGCACATCGCATCGTCGGAGAGTTGGGTAATTAGTGGCTTGGCCGTGTCAACGAAGACGCGCGCCGTGGCCGAAGGCTTGTCTCGCGGTCGCGGGCTCAAACAGAAGCTCGAGCGTCCAGTCGTCGTTTTCTGATTCATCGTTTTGCCGATCGGCGCGGGCCCTCGCACCCCCCCTCCCCCCCCTCCTTGGAGTAGATCTTGGCTGCTTCGGGCGCCTGCTTCACGCCCACAGGACGCACTGCTGCAAACAGTCGCACTGAGCAGAGGTCCAGAGCCAGACCACCCCCCCACCCCCCCCTGCCGCCCAATGTCGAAACGCCGAAAAAGGAAACGTTCACCCAAAGACCTCGATGCTTGACCCTCGTGCCTCCCCCCAGAAGCTCAAGCAGAACCCAAGAGCGTCCGAAGGCCTCCATTCTCAATCTTCGAGCCTCCCGCAGAGGCCCCAAACCGGAACACGAGCGTCCGAAGACCTCGATAGGATTACTCGATCCTCGAGAGTCCCACAGAAGCTCAAGAAGGACCAGAAGCGACTTAAGGCCTCAATCCTCCAGCCTCTGGTCTACTAGTCCTCCCTGATGGGGTCGGTGGACCTTCGCCATGTCGCCGATGCATCGGGAATGCATTTCGATGGGGAGCCCGACTTTCTCAACGCCGGCGCCGATGCATCGGCGATGCGGGGCGATCCTCCGGCCCAATCTACGGCAGGTTCGCGTCGTTTCGAACGGCGGCGACCCCGCCGCTGACGCTCAACATGGAGCGCCGCTGGGGTCCCAGAACCGGTCGAATTTGAACGATCTGACGTTTCGGAATCGGCCGATCGTTCAAGTTTGAATAATTATTGCCGAGCACGTTCCACTACTCGCACAGTGCCTACTCGCACATGTCATCAAAATTCACGTTCGCGGCGTTGTGATGGATCGTCAGTCCCTCGCGGCAGATCCAGGTCATTTGCGAGCATTTACCTTGCGAGGAGTGGAGCGGGCTTGCCTAGATTCCAGCGGTGTCGGGAAGCAGCGCTGGGGTCGACACGCCGCGAACTTGCAGCACCCGGACGCTACGCAGAAGGAATCTCTCTAGAGGTCGGCGGCGAGCGAGGGGGGGAAGGGAGAGGGGGAAGGCCCTCTCAGAAGGCGGCGGGACTTCTCGGAAGCCCTCGCGCCTTCTGAGAAGTTCTTGCTTGTCTCCGGGGGAGGCGTGGAACATTTCACGAAAGGCCGGGGGACTTCCGAGCATCCGGAGAAGGCCTCCTCCTTCTCACTTCCCCCCCAGTCAAGCAGTGGCGAAGCGTCCTGGCTCGCCCATGAGCCTGCCAGATAATGTTCTAAGACCGTTTCTGTGGTCTGCACGACATGTTCTTAGAACAGTTTTGGCTGAGACTGGCTTGTTTTAACACAGGGCTGAACCTAAACGGTGTTTTTCGTGTTCGTTTTGTTTTCGTTTTCCCTCGTTCTGTCTTCAATCCGCCTTTACCGTAAAACGGAATCAAAACGAAAACGGCCCACGAAATCGCCGAAACACCGTTCAGGTCCACCCCTGTTTTAACACATCTGGCTAATATTCCAAGGACATTGTTTTTGTTCTTGGGACATGTCTGGTTTCCGAGACAATTGCATGGTAGGCCTATAGGAATGCTTGGACGCTCGACCCCTGCTCAGCCCAGGGCTCGCGGCCGAGGGGGGGTCCCGCCGCCCAGAGGTTCCTGGCGGTGGCCGTGCTCTTCACCGCCGCGAGCGCGCTGCTCCTCAGCGCCTACCGCATCGGCACCCCGGCGGCGGAGGCGCCGGGGGCGGTTGGCCTTGCGGTAGTGGGGGGGTCACAGATGGGGGAGTCAGAAGGCCCGCTTCATCACGCAGGGCGAAGGAATCACATCGGGAGGGACGAAAAGAGGCTGGGACAGGGGGGGGAGTTACGACAGCTCCTGCGTGCAGCTGGTGTCGGCCCCGCGGCTGGGCACCCTTCCTCGGCGCATCGGCGCCCGGAGCCGCCAGGAAAATCAGCGGCATGAGCTGACTGGCTATGACGCCCATCCTGTTTTTCCCCCCCCCGGTCGTCCGACCCGAAGACCAGGCCGAACGAAAGGGGGGGATAGGGAAGGGGGGGGGGTACTAACTCTGCTGCGTGCAGCTGGTTTCGGCCCCGCCGCCAGGCCCATTCCTCGATACATGGGCGCCTCCCTGCGCCGGGAGGCGCTGGGAAAGTCATCTACGTGAGCTGATTCTCTGCCCTACCCTTGGCTATCCCCCCCTTCCGTTCCCCCCGAGAAGACGGGGGGGGGAGATCGAGGGCCGCAGTGTGAAGGCAGCTGCGGGTGAGGCTCTGGCGGGTAGCCCTCTCGGCAAGGCTTGGCCAGGGTGTATCACGCGCACGCACACACCCGTGGTGAGGCTTGACGTGAAGCGCAGACGGCCGCCCCCCCAGGTAGTCCCGGCTGGCCACAGAAGGCCCCCCGAGCAGTCCCAGCTGGCATCATCGGGCCACCTGGGACTACTCCCGGGGGCCGCTGAGGCCGGGTGGGGTGCTTCAGAAGCCGGGCCAGCCACCACAGACGGGTCAGCGCGCCTGCGGAGCGCAGGCGCTCCAGTGGCTGCCGCACGCGCGCACGCGTGTCTTCGCTTGGCCGGCGCGGTGCCCGGGGGTCCGGTGGTGACCGAGTCTCGCACAGCCGCCCAGCCCCGGCGTGCACGCACCAGTCGCAGTTCGCCGCGGTGGCGTGTCGTGCACGTCGGTTCCACTTTCGGACCGCAGCGGATGCTCACAGGTCGCCACTGTCTCCACCCGCCCTGGTCTTCTCTCCTCGTCGCCCACTTGGTCGTGCATTTCGCCTCTCAGCTGCCGTTGGGTGTGCGCTATAGTTATCGCTTTGGCACAACGCCTGGGTCTCTCTTTCTCCTTTCTCCTGGACCGCAACCTCCTCCCCTCTGTTTCTCCCTCCCGGGTTTGCGCATCCTCGGCGGCACGCCTCGAGAGGCAACCACTGGGGCCTCAGGTTGGCGTTGCGCTGGCGCTGATGAGAGACCACTGGGTTTCCTCGTTTCCTCCTCCTCCTCCTCCTCCTCTGCCCCCCTCCTCCTCTCCTCCTCCTCCTCCTCCTCCTCCTCGGATTCGGCCCAGGTAGTCACCGTCGGATACATATACCTTCCCGTCTCCGTGGTGCTCAGCTACTACATCTTCCGGCGGCGGTATGGCAGGCTCGAGTGGCTCTCGGTGGGCATGATGACGCTGGCCATCCTCACCTTCGTGCTGCTGCGCGAGGAGTCCAAGAACCCACTGGGCCGGTTTCGCCGCCGCGGGTTCTGTTTGGTGGTCGGGGCTGTGTTTATCTCGAGGGACCAAAACGGCATAAACACACACGCACACACGTGGTCGTTGTTTTATTAATTGTTTTGCCGATCGGCGCGGGCCCTCGCACCCCCCTTCCCCCTCCCCCTCCCATGAAGTAAATCTGTGTTGTTTGGGGCGCCTGTTTCGAGTGGAGTCTCCCCCATAGGACGCACTGTTACAAACAGCCGCGCCAAGCAGAGGTCCAGAGCCAGACCCCTGCCCCTCCCCCCCTTGCGCCCAACGTCGAAACGCCGTGTAAAAAAAAAGCTCACCACACACAGACACAGACACAGACACAGACACAGACACAGACGCACACACAGACACACACACAGACACACACACACACACACACACACACACACGCACACGCGCACACACACACACACACAAACACACACACACACACATACACACACACGCACGCACGCACGCACGCACGCACGCACGCACGCACGCACGCACGCACGCACAGACACACACACAGACACATTTTCGGAGCGTCGCGCGGAGGTCTTGGGTCGGCCCTGGGCGCCCCTCCCCAGCGCACGGAGCCGAGTGGACCCCCCGCCAGGGCTGCAGTCAGAATGCACAGCAGGGATGCACGGGAGGGATGCACGGGCCCTCGGAAGGCCGTGCCGACGCTTTTCGAGCGGGGCGCGGCCAGCGGACGTGGCCGAGTAGGGGCCGAAGGGAGAGGATGCAAGGCCGCTCGTCCTCACTATCAGTGTTGACTGTGTCTGTCGAAGAAGAGAACAGCTCATAAACATAAACGTGTGGCGCTCCGCACGGATTTCTTGGATCCGCGTTGGGCCCCCCCGCGGCGCCTCTGGCGCCGCACCTGGCGCGCTCAGCGCGCCAGGGAGGGGGGGCCCAGCGCGGGTCCAAGAAACCCGCGCGGAGCGCCAAAAGTTTATGTTTATGTGATTTTCTTGTCCTAAATCCGCTCGTCCTCACTATCAGTGTTTACTGTGTATGCTTGTGCCGTCGTTCTGTGCCTCCGTGATCAGCGTTCTCGGTTCCATATTGGCGGAGAAGATCTTCAAGCAGAGGTCCATCGCGCGCGGCAGCTCTCAGCAGCCGCACCAGGACAGGTTTTACCTGATGAAGCTGCACCTGGACTACTCGTCGCTGGTCGTCTCGTGCGCTCTGTGGTTCACGCCAGCCCCTGTTGCGAACTTGTTTGGGGATTTCTTCGAGCAGTGGTCCAACTCCCCCGAGTGGTTTGGCACGTGGGGCCGGTACCAATTTCTCATGGTAGTCGTGTCGGTTGGACAAGGCTGGGCAGCAGGTTTGGTCACGAAGGAATTCTCCACGGCTGTGAAGGCCGTCTTGCAGACTCTGAGCGTCATCACCGTGATGCTGCTGAGCGACCCGCTCATGGGCAACCGCTTTCACTTCATCCGGAGAGAGTCCCCCTCCATCATGCTTTTCGTTATCATCGTGATGTCGGCGCTGATCTTCCAGACGGGGAGGATCAAGCAATGGCGAAGCGTCCTGGCTCGCCTATAGGCCCACCAAATAATGTTCTAAGAACAGTTTTTGGTTTCAACGAAATATTCAGAGAACAGTTCTGGCTGGGGCTGTCTTGTTTCAACACATCGGGTTTATGCTCTAAGGCAAGTGTTGTGTTCTTCGAACATTTTGGGGTTCTAAGAACATTTCGAGGTAGGCCTATAAGTATGCCAGGACGGTCGGTCCCTGCTCAAAGAGGATCAACCTCAGGGTCATCCGCAAGGCCATGAGCCTGGGCGTCGACCGCCTGGCCGCGCCGGAGGACGACTCCGAGCCCCGCCCCCGGCTGGACGCAAGGACCAGCAGGGAGGGCCTCGGACCCCCGCCTTCCCCCCCCCCCGCACACCCCTCTCCCCCTGCTCCCCCCTGATCCCCTTTCCTTCGAAGAAGAAGTAGAACGCCATGGGCATAAACTTTTCACCCCCGACCCCACCACCCCAACCCAACCCGAAGGCCCCAATTTGCCCTCCATTTCGAGGGGGGGGGGTTCGGGGAACATTGAAAAAACACATGGAGCCCGTATCCCCCCCCAACCCGAAATTCGGGTTTTCGGGTCGGATTGGGGTGGTCTGGTAGGTAGTCAATGTTTGGCGCTCCGCGCGGATTTCCTGGATCCGCGCTGGGGCCCCCCCCCCCCCCCCCAGCGCCTCCGGCGCCGCCCCTGGCGCGCTCCGCGCGCCAGGGAGGGGGTCCCAGCGCGGGTCCTAGAAATCCGCGCGGAGCGCCACACGTTTCTGTTTATTGCGTATTTGCTTTTTCTACCCCTCAGACTGCCTCTCGCTGCGGACCCCCCTCTCCTCCCCAGCGCCTGGGGGCCCAAGAAGTCCCAGAGCCCTCCTCAAAAAAAACCCGGGGCCCAGGACCGCCTTCTCGGTCCTCCCTTCCCCACCCAGGTCGTGGTGATGATGATGATGATGATGATGATGATGATGATGATGATGATGATGATGATGATGATGATGATGTTGATGATGATGATGATGATGATGATGATGATGATGATGATGATGATGATGATGATGATGATGGTAATGAATTTAGAATATCAGAAGGAGGAGGGGGAGGAGGAGGAGGAGGAGGAGAAGGAGGAGCAGGAGATAGGGCGGAGGAAGAGCATGCGATGTGGACGCGGCCGCCCCGTCGTGCCAGGCGGACCTCTCCCCCCCTGCCATCCGTTTTTCGTCGCCGTCCCCGAGAATGGGCGATGGGAGGAGAGGACGAGGAGGAGGAGGAGGAGGCGGAGAAGGAGGAGTTGGAGGAGTTGAAAGAGGAGGAGGGGGAGGGGTGCAGGGATGGAGGGTGGGAGGAAGGGGTTGAGTGATACAGGGAGGGAGGGAGGGAGGAGAGAGAACGAAGGGGAGAGGGAGGGGTGGAGAGGGAGGACGACGGGAAGGGGGAGGAGGAGAGGGAGGAGGAGGAGCACGGAGGGAGGGAGGGAGGAGAGGAGGCGAGGGAGGGAGGAAGAGAGGGAAGGGGAGCGAGCGAGGGAAGAGCGAGGCGAAGCGAGGGAGCGAGGAAGGGGGACAGACAGCAGGGCGCGCTCCCACCCCCCCAGGGAAAGCACGCCGGACGGCGGGAGTGCCGCCGCGCCGCCCGGCGACAAGCCGGGTGGCGACTCGTCCGCGGAGGACCCGCCGCGAAGCAAAGGGTCGAAGAAGAAAAAAACACGCAAACGTAATTTATTGGCGCTCCGCGCGGATTTCTTAAGAAATCCGCGCCTCCGGCGCCGCCCCTTGCGCGCTCCGCGCGCCAGGGAGGGGGGATCCAGCGCGAATCCAAGAAATCCGCGCGGAGCGGCAGAAGTTTATGCTTGTGCGTTTTTTCTTCTAAAGGGGCCGTGTTGCGGTCACGACATGCACCCATATCCGTTGAGTCTTGGATTTTCTGGGATGGTTCACCTCGCCCGCTCTCGACAGACGTTGCATACATTTTCCTCACACGTATTAGAAAGCTTGTTTGGGTTTCGATCTCGTTGGGTATTCGACGACCCTGTGTAGATAATCGTGTCTCCTGTGTCCGTCTGGTTCGCGCGCAAGGATTGGTGAACCGGCTCCAAATCGCTTAGCTCTCAGAGAAATATGTTCTTCGTTACGCCATTCTAACTGGCGTTTACCCCATGTCCTCCTTCTGGCGAACGTATTCCTGTTATCGGCGGCCAGCGAGGGGTGGGAAGTCAGAAGGAGAAGGCCATCTCAGAACGTTCGGAAGTCCCCCGTCCGTCTGTTTCAACCCCCAAGCGCCCATCCCTCCTCGCCGATAGGCGCCTGATAGCCCACTCCGCCCAGGATCGCACGGACTCGGCGCATTTGGGGCCGCGTGATCGACGATCCACTTGCGATGTATCGCCGATTCCGCGGCAATGCTCTCCCTCCCGAATTGCCCCCCCCCTTAATTAATGATGCTAGAAGTGCCCCTGGCTCAAGGTGCCCCTGGGATTCCCGAGGAGGCCCCACGGCCTCTCGAGCACCCCACACGAGGCCAGGGGGCCCCAGGGGCTCCAAGATGGAGCGAAACGCCAAGGGCAGCTTGGGCCAGGGGCACCTTTGGCAATCCCCGATCGTTGCCCGTATCGTTAGGTCGGCCATGTCCCTCTACAGGAGGTATCTTCCAAAAGAGGAAAACAGTCAGGGGACCATATTGGAAGTTTTGTTTTGTCTCTTTTGAATAATAGTTGAGTGCTTTTCATGTTATGCCCCAAATCCGCCTGTGGGGGGACGTGCCCGACCCAACCCTGGCGTTGCCCCGATCGTTGCCCCGATCATCGTTGCCGCTCCTCCTCCTCCTCCTCCTCCTCCTCCTCCTCCTCCTCCTCCTCCTCCTCCCCCTCCTTCTCCTCCTCCCCCTCCTCCGCCTCCTCCCCCTCCTGGCGTTGCCCCCGAAGCTGCCCCCCCCGGGGCCCGCGGCCCTTGCCGTGCCCGAGGACGCGGGCCGAGGCGCGGAGGCCGAGTCCTCGCCGCGGGACTCGGCGGCGGAGGAGCACGGCGGCGCGGGGGCGAGTTGGAGCTCGGGGGGGGGGTCCCTCTCCTCCCCCTCCCCCTTCCCCTCCTCTTCCTCCTCCTCGTCCTCCTCCTCCTCCTCCTCCTCCTCCTCCTCCTCCTCATCCTAGCCCATTTGGTCAAGCATTTGCTGCGCCGTGGGCTGCACCCTCGCATTTGCGTCCCCCCCTCGCGTCGCCCGCCCCCCATGCCGTGCAGGGCGCGTCTGGAGTGGCTGGGGCGTCAGCTCCAGGGTGGTGCCAACATCACCATGCACGCCAGCTTCAACGCGGCCACCTCGTCGGAGAAGTATATCTTCAAGCTCCACCCGGCTGGAGCTACCCACCTTCCTCGGCCATGCATGGCAGCTGTCTTGAAGGCCTTGATGGCTCGGGAGCCGTTGCAGTGCAGTAGCGACCATGGTCATCGGCACCGCCGCTCTGGGATCAGCGAGGTGACGATGTATTTTCAGCCTGATCCTTTTCGAGGTCCTGCTGATGGCGGCGCTAGTGGTGGAGATGAAGACGGCGACAACGGAGGTGACCCCTTTCGTGGTCCTCGTCATGGCAGTGGACGGCGGCGTCGTGGTTTCGGCAATGACCAGGCGGGAGGAGATGACGATCCGTGGTGGGGCGGGGGCGACCCGTGGACTCAGGGCCCTTTGGCGAAAGCTCCCAGACGTCACGGTGCTCACCCAGGTCCTTCTGCCCAGGCCCCCGATGGGCTATCTGGCTTGCCTGCTGTCCCTCATTTTCCTGAGCTTTCCTGGAACCGTGATGCGCCCGTGTTCGTGCCGAAAGTTGATGACATCGTGGACCGAATGATTTATGAGCATGGTTGCGGGGAGGACCTCGTGCTTACCGATGGTGGCTCTCTACTTGCTGGTCAGGCTGATTTCCCTCCTGAGTAGATGAGGAAGTATGAGGATCTCTCTTTCGGCACGGTGCTCAACGCTGACGGGGACGTCGGCGCAATGCAGGAGCAGGATGCCTTCATCGACCAGGTGCTCTACGAAGCGGTGGGATACGATGACGTGGACGGCGACATCTGGGAGAAGGCGACGCAGGAGGCCATCATCGACCAGGTGCTCTACGACGACGGCTTCGACTTCGAGCACTACGTGGAAAGCAGCGACGGGAGGCAGCACGAGCAGGAGGACATCATTGACCAGGTGCACTACGACGACGGCCACGACGTCGAGCAGGGGGACGTCGAGGGCTCCGGTGGCGGCTTCGGCGGTTCGGTTGGGGTGGCGGCGGCGCCGGCCAGGGCATTGGCGGCTGGGGTGGAGGCGGCGGCGGCGGCGGCTAGGGCTGGGAGGGAGGCGACCTTCCCCACGATTCTCGAGGAGTCCGATTGCGATCTTGACCTCGAGGCTGGCCACGTCGATGAAGTGACGGAAGTGGCGGCTGCTGACCAGTTGGACGGGCCCGCTTCGGAGGATATTCCTGCTAAGATGGAGAGCGAATTGCTGGACGAGGACCTCTTTGCGGACTTTGATGTATTCGATGGTGGTGGAGGGGATTCGTGCTCGGCGGCACGGTCGAGCCGCCCTGAGGCCCCCCGCGCCTCGAGGAGGGTCCAGCGGTCGGCGGGGGCCAAGAAGAAGGCGCTGCTCAAGGCGAAGCTGGCTATGAGCATCTCGTGACTGTGAACTCTGCGGCTGCGTGTGAGAGGGAGTGGCTTCGGTGGTCTGGCCCTTTTACGGGTCGGCACGGCCAGGAGGGTGCCTCGTGTGGGCGCCCCTGGTGATGCCGCATACCTCTGCGTTCGGGACTCAGGGGAGGGTGCTTCGGCGGTCTGGCCCTTTTCAGGGTCGGCACGGCCAGGCGGGTGCCTCGTGCGGGTGCCTCTGGTGACGCCCCATACCCTGGCGCCTCGGGAGGGCGGGGCTCGCTGCGGGCTCTGCGAGGGGGGGGGGGGAAACAAAAAAAGATCCTCCTCATCCTCCTCCTCCCTTCCTCCCTTCCTCCTCCTCCTGCTCCTCCTCCTCCTCCGCCTCCACCTCCACCTCCGCCGCCTCCTCCTCCGGAGGGGGGCGGAGCCCGCTAGCGGGAGGTGACGGTGTCGCCCCTCCGATTTAGAGACCCAGCGGATGGATAAGAAGAAAATCCAGACGGAGGTTTTCCCTGATTTCGGCCTCTAGAGGCCCTCGCCGGGCCCCGGGGCCGTCAAACAACGACGCATGATGAACAACCGGTCCTGGGGAAGGGGCCGAGACTTCGGGGGACCGCGTCTTGACAAAAAACAAAAACACGGCATCGGATCTTCGGGGAGGCAGCCACCTCGGACTGCGAGGCAAGCTCGCCCACCACCAAAGCGGGGTACCCCGCCAGAGGAGCTGCGCTGCCCCCCCCCCCCCCACATACAGATGGGGAGGGGTGCGCTCCAGGCAGCCTCAGAGCAATTTGGACCAGGGCCAGCATACATATACCACCCAGGGGCCATGCTCTTTTTGTTCAGCATCTAGTGACACAGGCCCTCCAACGGTCTTTCTCCTTATCCTCATCCTCCTCCTCCCCCTCCTCCCCCTCCTACGAAGCATCTGCACAGGCGCCATCATGAAAAGGTTTAGGGCAGTTTCGTACATGAAGTGACATATACCAGACCGCCACCGTGCTAGGGTTGTGCGTTTGAAGCCTATGGGATGTTCGTTGGGATATCGTGGGAGGCCTCCCGGGGGCCTCTTGGAAACAGTTTTTCCCAACCATCCTGCGGTGATGAGTCTTCGTTTCGAAGAGACACCGCCCCGTGTCTTTCCTCCCGTTGCCCCCTCCCCGTCCTTTCATCCTTGCCTCTCCTCTCCCTGTGCCGTCATCACCATCGTTATCGTGATTTTCATCGTGAGCATCATTGCCGTCATCGGCGTCATCAACATCGCCATCGTCAGAGTCGTGCCTCTGTTCTCCGCATGTCCACCATTTCGGCATACCCCTCACACGGTTCGTGGCCCCACAGGGAGCTCCACCGAAGGCCCCAGTGGCAGGGTGCGCATGTATCAACGCCACCTATTGGTCGCACCCCTCACACGGTTCGTGGCCCCACAGGGAGCTCCACCGAAGGCCCCAGTGTCAGGTCCGCATGCATCAACGCCACTTATTGGGCGCACCCATCACACTGCACAGGGAACTCCACTGAAGCCTTCAGTGGCAGGGTCCGCATGCGCCAACGCCGCCTTCTTCGGCGCACCCCTCACACGGTTCGTAGCCCCACAGGGAGCTCCACCGAAAGCCCCAGTGGCTTGGTCCGCATGCGTCAACGCCAACCGTTCATTCGCACCCTTGACACGGTTCGTGGCCCCATAGGGAGTTCCTCCGAAGGCTCCAGTGGCAGGCTCCGCATGCGTCAACGCCACCCATTTAGGCGCACCCCTCACACGGCTCGTGGCCCGAAGGCTTCAGTGGCACCCCTCACACACGATACGTGGCCCCACAGGGAGGTCCACCGAAGGTTCCAGTTGCAAGGTCCGCATGCGTCAACGCCACCCATTTCAGCACGCCCCCTTTTACACGGTTCGTGGCCCCATAGGGGGTGCCACCGAAGACAGGCGCACCCCTCACACGGTTTGCAGCTGCATATGGTTGGTCTTCCGTCAGCTAAATTATGTCTCTTGGGGCCAGTTTGGGGGCCCTTTTGGGTCTTTGTCGGGCCTCTTGGGCTCTTGTGGCTTCTGTTTTGATGCCCTTTGGGCGCCTCTTGGGGCCTCCTGGGGGCCTCTTGGGCGGAAGGCTTGGATTTTCGGTACGTGCTCCCTCTCGTGGGGCCCTCTTGGGCAGCATTGGGCGCCTCTTGAGCCGTCTTGGGGCGTTCTTTGGCCGTCTTGGGGCCCTCTTGGAGGCCATTTGGGCCGTTTTGGGCTGGCCTTGGGAGCCTCTTGGGCCTTCCTGGAGTGTCGGGCCACTGGAAAGGCGAGAATGCCAACATCTTTCAAACACCAAAAGAAAGGCAATTCAATAAGTTGTACCTCTTTGGGCTTCCTGGGAGGCCTCTTGGGGCGTCTTGGAGGCCTATTGGGCCATACGGAGGCCACCTTGGTTGAGCGTCTTCGAGCGATCGTTCGGCGACCCGGGGCTCTTTTGGACCGTCCTGGGGGCCTGGGCCGTCAAAGAAGCCTTGCAGACCCCCAGGGAGGCGCCATGGCCTCCCAGGGACCCCCCCAGTAATAGGGGCGATTCTGTCAGGGAAGCGTGACCAGGGGGGTGGGGGGCCCCTTAGAAGACTATAGAAACCCTGCCAGGCAGCCCTTAGCATTCTTCCACGCCTCAACGTGCCGCAGGCACTGTGGCGGATTATGCCCCTGTGATCCGGACCAGATAGGTCTTAACCGTTCTTCGGTCTGTTCAGATTTGGAGCTTAGCGCTGAATCCGAGTCCCAACCAACTCATTCCCCTCCTCATTCCTCGATGAGGAGGAGGAGGACGACGACGACGTGGACGACGACGAGGGCGAGCTGGAGTTCGTGTGGCAGCGTCACTGGGGGACAACGGCGGTCCTCCTCCGCTTCCTCCTCCTTCGCCTTTCTCGAGGAGGAGTTGGGGGACGACGACGACGACGACGACGAGAACGACGACGAGGGAGACTGGAGCTCGTGGGGCAACGTCAGTGGTGGGACGACGGCGGTGGCAGTCCTGGCAATGTCTCGGCGGCGAAAGTCGAACCCTACCCTCGCCGAGCACCCATCTGGGCAACTGGATGGGGGGCGGGGGTAGGATTCGGATTTCGCCGAACACGCGGCGAAATCCGAATCCCATCGATTCAGGAGAATCGAAGGTTGGCGGGGGTAGGGTTCGGATGTCGCCACCCACCGAGGGAGGTAGCAGTCCTTGCGTCGTCGCTGAAAGGCGGAGGGATGGCCCTGTGGTCTGGACTGGCTTACAATTGAGAGCCGTGCCAAGAAACACCCTCTGCTCGCCTCCAGGATGCCCTGGGTTTCTTGGGTTTCGATGGTTCTGCGATGGAGAGCGTGACGTTCCCACACGAAAAATCAAGGGATGTCCTGGGGTCTCAGGGTTGTGTTTCTTGTTGAATGTTTCTTGTGTTCGGGCCCCTACTGTAAACTCCACCTGGTCTGCGGGGCCTACGGGCCGCAGCCTCTGGCCCAGACCGATGTGGAAGGAAGGAGGAGGAGGAGGAGGCGGAGCAGGAGTAGGAGGAGGAGGAGGAGGAGGAGGAGGAGGAGGAGGAAGAGGAGAAGGAGGAGGAAGAGGAAGAGGAGGAGGATGCGTAGGAGGAGGAGGAGAGGGAGGAGGAGGAGGAGGAGGAGGAGGAGGAGGAGGAGGAGGAGAAGGAGAAGGAGCAGGAGGAGGAGGAGGAGGAGGAGGAGGAGGAGGAGGAGGAGGACGGGGATCGAGGATCATGTTTTCAGCCCCCCTGGCCGCATGACATTGAATCGCGACTGGCTGTTTTTGGTAACTTCGGCCTGGGGGCCATCGCCAGGCTCCAGAACCGTCAGACAAACAAATATTCGGGACGAAATAACTGTCCTGGAGAATGGGTCGAGACTTCCTGGGGGTCGACGCTGTCAACAAACCATGGCGTCGGAGGTCTGGGACTGGGTAGCGTTTTCTGTAAGCTGTTCGTTGTGCTTTCGGACGTTTTCGAGGACCACGCTGGTTTCCATCAGCTGCGCGCCGTCAAGAGTACTCCGGTGCTGCCTGAGTCCTCCCGAACGGCCGCCAAAGGACCAGGTCACGGCCCCAGAGCCAGGGAGCGGAAGATCAGGGGCCATGTAGGGGCCTCTTCCTCCTCCTCCTCCTCCTGCTCCTCCTCCTCCTCCTCCTCCTCCTCCTCCTCCTCCTCCTCCTCCTCCTCCTCCCCCTCGTCCTCCTCCCCCTCCTCCTCCTCCTTCTCCTCCGCCTCCTCCTATTCCTCCTCCTTTCCTCCTCTTCCCCCTCCCCCTCCTCTTCCTTCTCCTCCTCCTCCTCCTCCTCCTCCTCCTCCTCCTCCTTTTTCTCCTCCTCGCCCAAGAGCGACCGTGCGGAGTCGCTATCGGGAGTCCATCGCCCATGCGTCGGCGGTGTATCGCCGATTCCAGGTCGATGCCCCCCCCCACTGAGCCAGTACCCCTCTGACGCTCCCTCTCAGGAGCAGCCTGCTCGCGACCTATGCGCTGATCGTCGTCTACATCCGGAAGAGCAGAACGCGACCCCAAATCTCCGACGATACGACTTTGCTCAACCTGGATGTTTTCGGCCTCCGAGGCCCGTTGTCGGGCCCTGGGACCATCAAGCATTGACTGGGGCGAAAAGCGGCCCCCGGAAAGGGGTCGGGATGTCTGCGGTCGCGGATTAAACAATCTTATCGGAGGATGTCTGGGATGGATGGCAGCCGCAGTGGGCGGTGAGTGGGCGCTGCGTGGGCAGCTGCCAGAGGGCAGCCGGGAGGGAAACCCTCCTCGGCATGGCCTCGCCTTGCATCCTGGCCCAGCTCTCCTCGGACACAGCTCTGGTGAATGGGAGGAAATCCACCTTTGCTGCTGCCTCCTGGGGCCTGCAGGCAGTAGCGGCAGTTGACGAGGGGAAAGACCCAAACACCAGAGAGGTCCCAGACGAGCCGCACACGGATGCAAGGAATGAGCTCTAAAAAAGGATCCTCCCCGGGGACACCCAGCCAGTCCGTGCAAGGCATACCGTGGTAGGTGGTGACCACCGGATCC